GTGTTTTAGTTTGTTTGTTCTTTTTCGAATTCCAGGAACACTTTTCAACACAGAGTATCGAATTATGCACAGAAAAATCAAACAGGATACACACACTTAATATACCAAATGAGTTGTAAGTATCATAAAACAACACACGGCCGCTGCACCAGGTGTGCACACTGTCTATAAGTCTGCTATACATTTTAAAAACCGAAGAAACCGTGCTTTTTAAGATAACACTTTTCAAGCATGTCTACTGTATAAAACCGGCATGTGCTTCCTGGATCAGCGGCTTTCTTTCTGTCAAGGCGGGCGAGGTAGCACCAGGTAAATTGTTTTAGAAATGTTTAGATGTAGAGCGTTTAGGATCAGGGATCTGAACCTGGAAGCCTGTTCCTTCCATCACCCGACATATGATGAGTGGCATCCATTGCTCTAGGGCAGAGGTTCCCAACCCTGTGCCCGCGGAACGATTCGCATGTGCCCGCCTCTCACTATTCGACAGAGACAGAATTTTTTTCATAAACATTATTTTAAAATATGATTTATTTTTATTCATTTGTTAGAGTTTTAATTTTTTTTTTACTGCCTAGGTTTATTAAATATGTTCGATACTTGTCCCAACTTGTCTAGCGGCGAGCCAGACTGCACTATTTACGCTAGCCTGGAACGGCTAGTGCCATTTGCACATCACACCTTGTACACGCAGAAAACCCGAAGTGAACGAATGGAACGAACGCCACGAACTGATCCGATAAACGCCGAAGGCGCCAAATCACAAGGCACATAACTGTGATTGCTTCGGTGATCATCGGCTCACTTCGGGTTTTCCGCGTGTACATGGAGTGATGCGCAAAAAGCATTCCCCGCCTGGAACCGCGTTGTTGTCATTGTGATTGCTGCCCTGTTCGGGTCGCGACAGTTAGATAAGAGACATGTTCGTCAGACGAAACACGAATTAGGAGTTTTCTATAAAAAAAAAAATTAACAGGCTAAAAGCGAGGTGCGTAATTTATTGTATTCATAAGCGATGATCTATTAATAAACTATTATTATTGAGGAGATAGTTATAGTTCTTGTTATAATATATTTATGCATATAATGCAGAACAGACTTGCACTATAACATTGATATTATATTGTAGTTCAATTATTATTTTTTTTTATTATTTATTTTAGCCCTAAAATGAGTGGACCAAGTAAAAAACATCGACCCTATAATTTTAACACTGACTGGGAGGAATCATATTGTTTCGTTAATTTGAAAAATAAATGCGTTTGTTTGTTGTGAGGTAGTAGCATTGCAGTGCCGAAAAAACATAACGTTGACCGACACTTTCAGACAAATCATGGCACTTTTAATGTGAATTATCCTCTTAAATCTGAAGTAAGAAAGAAAAAAATTTGTAATCTAAAATCAAGTCTAACAGCACAACAGACTGTTTTCACTAGACATGTGGACAATTCTAAAAAGGTCACTATTGCTTCTTTCAAAATATCTCACATGCTCGCAAAAAAGAAGAAACCTTTCATTGATGGTGAGTTGTTTAAGGAACTATTTTTGACTGGTGCCGATTGTTTGTTTGATGGATTTTCTAACAAACGTGAGATTGTCTCAGCAATACAAGACTTACAGTTGTCAAATAACACAGTCACAAGAAGAATACATGCAATTTCAACAGACATACAAACTCAGTTAAAAACTGACTTGGAAATATGTGACTGGTTCTCGCTACAATTTGACGAGTCAACAGATATATCAGACACCGCACAGTTAGCAGTTATGGTGAGAATGGTGTTTAGTAACTTCACAGTAAAAGAGGATATGTTACAAATATTACCTATGAAAGGACAGACAAGGGGTGAGGATATTTATAATACATTCAAAACATACGCCAAGTCAATAAATATGCCTTTGCACAAGCTGTCTGCAATAACCACTGATGGGGCGCCAGCAATGATGGGTAAAAACAAAGGATTTATTGCCCTCTGCATGAAGGATGATTCATTTTCAAACTTCATGTCCTACCATTGTATTATCCACCAGGAAGCTCTGTGTTGTAAAATTTTGCCATTTGAACACGTCATGAAAATAGTTACAAAAATAATCAATTCTATTCGAGCAGCTCCTTTGCAACACCGACTTTTCAAGGCCCTGTTAGAAGATACTGAAGATAAAGAACATGATCTTATTCTGCATACTGAAGTACGTTGGCTCAGTAAAGGAAAGGTTCTTACAAGATTTGTGAGTTTAATTGAAGAAATAAAAACATTCATAAACGATAGAAAGGAAAATTATGATGAACTAGCTGACTCTGGCTGGCTGATTGATTTGGGATTTCTCACAGACATCATGGAAAAATTGAATTCTTTAAATTTGGAGTTGCAGGGTAAAGACAAAAGCATAGCTGAAATGATAAGCTCTGTAAAGTCATTTAAAGCTAAATTGGATTTGTTGATATCACATCTGCAGATCAATTCTCTCGTGCATTTCCCACATATGAAGAAAATGCTAGGTGACAATGAATTAAATGGGACATTATTTATTAAGCATCTTCAAGAGTTAAAAAAACAGTTTGAAGAGAGATTTTTGCAGTTTAAACATATTGAGCCAATAGTTTCCTTCTGTATCAATCCCTTTACTTGCCAAATAAATGTTATGGAAATAGCGGCATGTATTGCAGATTTTGTTCAAGGTAAGACAGAAGAACTAGAGTTAGAAATTTTGGACCTTAAGAATGATATTTTGCTAAAATCCTTAATGTCAGAGGACTTTTGGAATACAGTGGATAGAGAAAAGTTCCCATTGTTGAAAAAAGCGGCATATAAAATTGAATCATTTTTCGGTTCGACATATTTATGCGAATCATTGTTTTCAAACATGAACTTAATAAAATCAAGATATAGGTCTCGACTCACCGATGAGCATCTTTATGATTGTCTGCTAACAGGATTATCGTCATACGCTCCTAATTATGAAGCTCTGGCCAATGAAATGCAATGCCAAAGATCACATTGACTTTATTATATTTTTTAATTAAATGTTTTCTTTGTATTTGTGTGTTTTTTTTACTTTCTTTACGTTTTGTAAATACATTTCTCTGTGTGTACGCAATTTGAAAAAAATGCCAAATAATTTTATTATTTTGAAACATTTTTGTTTATTATTTATTAATACATTATGACTACAAGAAAATAAGAAGATAAGAAAATAAATTATGGGAAAATGACAAGTTATGAAAGGAGTTTGTCGATTTAAAATAGGTGGTGCCCGCCACCCTACCGATATTTTAGAATGTGCTCTAGAGTAAAAAAAGGTTGGGAACCCCTGCTCTAGGGAATATAAAAAAAAAAATAATAATAAAAGAACAAAGCAAAAACCACTAGCAAAGTTTTGCCAATCATTAAATAAACTTAAGAGGACGCTTCGCATGATTCAATGTTAAGCCCCCCCTCCCCCCCTTTTACCCCCCAACCCTTTCACACACACCTTAGATGACCCAAAATGAACCTGATTTCAACAAGGTGTCAATCAGCGCAGTACAAATCCTAAGTCAGCTAGCATCAGAACACAAGGCTACCACACCTTGGGAAATTTCCCAAGATCTTGGGAATTCACGACCCCCCTTGGGATCTGGGGAATAATTTTGAAAATCATGCAAAACCTTGGGAAATCTTAACTGGGGGGAAAATTTTGTTATATTTTTCGAAAAAAACGCAACAATATCTGATAAAAAATAAAGTAAAAATAAAGCAAAATAATTTTTAAAGTAACAAGGCAAAAAATTAATTGTTTTCATTTTCTTTTCTGGTTTTAATTTTTAAATCCACTCATAAAATAAATAAAAACTCTTCTGATTTTAAAGTTAATATTGTGAATTATTAAAAAGTTAATAATTTTT